ACATAATAAGATGAGCTCACGTTAGTGTTACTGACTTTTTCTTCTCTGCCCCACTGTCTTGCAATTAGGTGAAATATCTTCGTTCATATATTATACTGCATATAATAGTGTATGCTATTTTATATGTCAATCAATAATGATTTTACAGAAAAATGGACAAATATAAACCTCATTGATTCTTGGGATTTGTCATTCATTCACTTAGCAAGCCGCTCAATAAAATTTATTAGGCACTTTCTACATACGCAGCACAGTGCTTGAAGTCATAGCAATGTAAGAATGCATACCCTGTCCCTGAGGCACTTACATATCATTACAGAGATGGAACATGCACACAAGACCTGTAGCATAAGGTAAAAGGAAAAAAACCCCAAAATTAGAAGAGAAACTGAGATAACTGCCTGGGGAAATCAGAAGCTGAGAAATCTCATGGAGAGTGGGTAGAATCCTGGGAGAGGGGCAAGGTTTAGACGTGGAGCGAAGTCAGCAGCCGCCCTTCATGAGGAGGTTACAGTGTGTGTGTGTGTGTGTGTGTGTGTGTGTGTGGCTGGAAGAGGTCACGGCAAGAATGAGGAACAGTTAGGAGGAGTCACTGAGTGTCAGAAGAGAAATTCGGGGAGATAATGCTGGAAGGACATGTTAGGGCCATTACACAGTCTTTATTGACAGAATAAGAAATTTAGACTATGATAAGAAGGTAATAAAGCACCCTTTAGACCTTAAAAAAAAACTTTTTATTTTGAAATACCTGTATTTGGCATGGATAATGTGTGCTTTTTTTGCCCAAATTTTTAAAGGACAATAAGGATGTGCACTATACATGTGTAGTAGTAATTCTTTATCTATATAAATGTTTTTAATTCTTATGCTTATGCATTAAAAGTGTAAGCAATAACAGTATCCGTATGTAAAATAATATCCTGGAATATGGTAGTTGGTTTTGTTTCTAAATATAAAATTAAAAATTGAATTAAAAAATTAAAGCAAAAGATTTTTTTCTTGAAAGTTGGGCCAAAAATGTGGGTGTGCCATATATAGGGCAAAATACGGTACATTTTGACTTATCCAAGAGTTTCAAAGATAATACAGAGAATTCCCAGGAAATAATATCATCTAAGTTTTCATGTTTTAAAAAGATGAGTATAATCATTAGTGCAGTATTCCAATATCATATTCCTATAACTGCACCCTCTTTCTCATGCTTACTGTAGTATATTTGTCAGTTTTATTCTACTCAGAAATGCCAAAAAGATTTGTCTCCCTTATTTATTTTTTCAAATAAGTAGTTTTTGGTTTCATTGATTTGATTCTCAGTTTTTGCTCTATTTCATCAATTCCCCAAAGCTACCCTACCTATAGGTATACATCAAATGTATGTTAAAGAACAAGCACTGAGATCAATGGACAAATGCTAGATCAAAAAGAGCCACTTGACCCATCTTTTAAGCAGAGTGCTATCCCTGAGTCCTACACAGCCATGCAGCTGAGTGATTCTTCTGTCACTATCCTGCTTGAATTTGGTGGGCCATTTCAATATAAAATTTTGTGCTTTTCTTTAACTCAAGGAAAATTACTTCCATTATTTATTTCCCTTGTCTCTTTCTAGAACTGTTATTAAATTAGTGTTTATCTCCAAGATTTACCCCCATGTCTTCTGTGCTCTTGTTTTCCATTTCTTTGTCCTGTGCTCTCTAAGTGATAGAACACTTACCTTAGTATTTATTTTTTTACTTTGTTATCCTTCACCATTTTAAAAGGGATTCTATTTACATATTTATTTTTAGAAAGAGAGGAAGGCAGGGGAAAGAGAAGGAGAGAAATATCAACGTGAGAAAGAAACAGTGATGGCTGCATCTTGCCTGCCCCGGGACCAGGAATCAAACCTGTTACCCAGGCATGTGCCATGACCTCGAATTGAACTGGAGAGCTTTTGCTTTGTGGGACAATGGATGCTCAAACAATTGAGTCACACTAGTCAGGGCTCCTTTACTAATTTGGCTGTGATTTATGTCCACCTGTCTATTTACTGCTTATTTATTTATCTAATTTGGAAATCATATTTTAAATTTCCTGTTCCTTGCTTACTCCTGATATCATAGATATTTGAATGATAAATACTCTCTTATTTCTTTTGTTACTTGAATTATTTCTCTTCTTTTGTTTGCTTGCCTTGAACCTATCTCTTTTGCTTTTTGGTTTCCTGAAATGTTTGGCCATCCTTTAGTCCATTGGCATTCATAGACAGAGAAGTACATTTGTTTAGGTGGCTGTCAAGACTCTGTGGCTGAGCAGGTCTGTTTTCCTAGGTGGTCTCCCCTGAAAGAGGAAGGCCGATGGGAGCTCTGTGTGAGTGGGCAGGTTCATGTGGATTAGAGATTCCCTTCCTCAGTGCTGCCTTTCTTCCCCCTCCCCTGCCTATCATTCTTATCTAAGTGTCTGAGGTTATATCAAGCTCTGTTCTGAGGCTTCTAGACCCACTTTCAATCATCCTCCTAAGGCAATTCACTTTCATTACTCAGAGGTCAAGATCCACTGGTGACCATTGCTCAGTGCAGATGAAGGCAGGACTGTGCTGACTGATGGGTCAAAAGTTTTGAAAACAGCTTTTAAATTATCCTTAAAATTACCCCACACTACTGCCAGACTAATCTTTCTGAAACACGTTGGAATATGTCACTCTCCATCTCAGAATCCTCTAGGGGTGCTGATTTTATGTAGAATAAAACCTGCTGTCCTTTGCAAAGCATGAAGATCCTGTGGTTTGATGTGGGTGCTTGACCATCATCTCCCACTACCTCCCTGCCACACATGCATAGGCTTCCCAAATTCTCCAGGTGCTTGGGATTTTATCTTCTCCATGCCTTCACACACACCATCTTCCATGCTGAGAATGTCATTCTCCTCTACTGACTGGCAAAGACACCCTCAACTGTACATGTCACTTTGCGAATCCTCTGACTTGCTCTAGGCAGACATAGGTCTGTGGGTCCATGTATTTAACTGTATTCTCCTCTCATTCACAAAATATTTAAATAACACAAAACAGATACAATGGTAATAGGATAACATAAATGAGTGAAACATACTAAGTTAAAAGGGGGACTAAAAGTAGAAATATAAATACTGGGTTGGCCAAAAAATGCATTTGGTCTTTTCAGTAACATGGCTCTAGTAGCCCTTCGCTGCCTTTAACTTTATTTGAAGCAATTTTGTTAGATGGTAGTATGACAGCTATCATGTTAATGTGCATTTAAAAAACTTATCATAATTGGTAAGTTTTTGTGTAGCCATTTTAATATTGAAGATTGAAGAATATATACAACATTATGCTTTATTATTTCAAGAAAGCTCAAAATGCAACTGAAACACACTAAAAAGATTTGTACAGTGTATAGAGAGGGTGCTGTAACAGATGGAATGTGTCAAAAGTAGTCTGTGAAGTTTTGCACTGTAGATTTCTTGCTGGGTGATTCTCCATGGTCAGGTAGACCAGTTGAAATTGATAGCGATCAAATCGAGACATTAGTTGGGAACAATCAGTGTTATACCACATGGGAGATAGCCAACATACTCAAAATATCCAAATCAATGTTATTTTTTACTTTATCAATAAAGTATCTTTTATTTTACAGGAAAAAACATACGGACTTTTTGACCAACATAGTATTACATGACATCAAGTTCTCTAGACTTACACTACAAAGAGACACACTGAAAATTTAACTCTGAGCTTCATAGTTGTTAAAGCTAAGAGAGAGGGAAACTTCACATTGTCAATAAACTGTAAGGATTTTTTGCCAGTTGTTGAAAACTAAGGGATGGCTTACTGTATTGAAAAAACACTTATAGAGTTGAGTGGTAAACTAAGAAATTCCTTTCTTTATGCTTTCAGTGACCCTTAAATATAATTATATGTAATTACTATAATATTCTTGTACATTCATTTTCTAAAGGTATGCATTACATACTCATCACTTGGCTCAATGCTTGATACTTCCTATTCACTCAATGAGTATTTGTTCGACTGGATAACCAGAGGTTGATGGTTAATGGAGGCCACTGTTTTTGTGTGAGTAGATGTGCAACAGAAATGAATCATCACCCACCATAAACATAATAAAGACATAACCAACTAGAAGTCTTCATAATAATTATCAAACAATAGTTGGAATACCTATGTACCAAGTAAACACACTGCATGTATATCTTATGATTTCTATTTTTTAAAAGATTTTACTTATTTAGTTTTAGAGAGAAGGGAAGGGAGGAAGAAAGAGAGGGAGAGAAACATCAATGTGTGGTTATCTCTCCCCTACTGGGGCCCTTGCCTGCAACCCAGGTATGTGCCCTGGCTGGGATTCAATTCAGTGACCCTTTGGTTCACAGGCTGGTGCTCAATCCACTGAGCTGCACCAGCCAGGGCTCTCATGACTCCTGACCAACCCTGTGGGTGTTATTCCTTATCTCACAGTTGAGGAGATCAAGAAGTTAAATCGATTTCCCAAGGGTAAACAGTCACCCAGAGGTAGAACTTGGGCTTAGCACAAGTGCCTGAACCCTGCCCCGTAAATCATAACCTTTGCTGTTGGTCATGCTTTGGCGTGTATTAGACTGATCAGTCCTTGATCACAGAATTCATGGCAATGGAAACTTTCTCCTGCTGGAAGGGCCATGATGGAAGGACTTTGCCGAAGTTCCTTTGTTATTTTAGGTATATTCCAAAATATTTTGAGAGAAAAGGCAGCAACTATCAGGCCAATAAAATGCTATAAAATGGACTTTCCATAAAGAATTATCATAGGGTACCCCAATATAAACTGCAATACTTTTTATTTTAAAAAATGGAAACATTAGACCAATTTTTCTGTATATATAATGGAATATGACACAACTTTTTTTCACTGCAAACAAAAAAACCTATAATACTACCATTTTAGAAAAGGACTTACTCTATTTTAACCCAGTTAACTTTCATTAACCAGTTTATGGCTGCTTCTTACCTGAAAGTTGCCAAAACAGCTTCCCCCTGGAAGGGTCACATAACTGACAAAGGGGGGCCCAGGAGACGGAAGGGACTCGTACACCACCACACCTTCACTCGGGAATGCAGCCCTCTGTTGCTGCTTGCTTTCCCAAAATTCCTGTAACATCGACACCACATTCACTGGAAAAGATAAGAAACATAAACCATCATTAAAAATGGACAGACCCTGGCAAGACAAAATTTGATTTGAGGGATGCTTTCAGTTTGGAAAGAAGCAAATACTACTTAACACAAATGTGTTTATTCCTTCATGAGTATGGCTCAGGTGGTTTGGGACCCTAATTCTGACAACATTGTAGTATATTCAATTTATTATATAAATTAATTTTTATCAAAGTAAAAAATCTCACTCATTCTTCTTTGAAAATTTGCCTTAATGAATTTTGTCCAGATCCATGGCCCCTGCTTCTATTTCTCATAGATTCTTAAACCTGCAAAGTAGAAGCCAGTTTCAAAGACAAAGATGTAAGCAATGTAATTTTAATTGGGATTCACCTGTGATAAGGCTTAAGCGAAAAAAGGCACAAAGAAGAAAACTCTTTTATGCTTCTTTCTACCTCAGTCTTAAGAATGAAAGGCAAATGTGTAATAAGCAGGAGGCTGGAAAACGCCATAAGCGAAACTAATAACATGGAGACCTTGTTAAGAACCACGTCTGTGAGATGACTTCAGAAAACAGTAATGGCTATAGCCATATGTTTTAGATTAAATGACCTGTGATAGCCTGCAGAATTTCCAGATCAAATTAGGTTGGTTTGTTTATCCTGTACTGCAAATTGAATTGTGGAAATTAACAAGGATAATAGAATTGTAGAACTTATAGGTCATGCAGGCAAAGCTCTGCCTAATGCAGGAATTCCCTGATCAGCAAGTACTGACAAATGCCCATCTGGCCTGTACCTGCATGTGTGGGAGGACTGGCACTGGGCACATCTGGAGGCAGACTATCTCAACTGCTAATGGTTCTGACTGTGAAAAGGTCCTTTTTGGGAGTGAGCCGAAATCTGCTTTCCTGCAAGCTTTGTGTAAGTGGTCTCCTTCCAATTTGGGGGGCCTCAGAGAAGCTTATCCCCTTATCTACAAGGCAGCCTACCACATAACTTAAAGGCAGTGTAGGACAGCTGTTGTTTTTGACTGCCTGTCATTTGTTTGCTCCCCCCCCCCTTATGGAAATAGCACAGAGGTTTTTCTTAAAGAACTGCCTTTCCTTCAACTACTACCTTAGTCTTCCCCAAGGCTGAGGGTGGGATTTTGACCAAAGCCAAGCCATTTAGAGCCAGTTCAGTCCAGGAATTTTGTTGAAAATATTGGAAGTCTAGCTTCTTCTTTTTCACTAGGGATGCTGGATAGGGTAGGGGGGTGGCAAGATAGGAGCTAAGTGTGGTGCTACCCAAGCAAAGGGAAATGCACTGATGAGAAAGCCAACATGGAGAAGGGTAGAACTAAGAGATGGAGAAAGAAAGACTAAGTTCTGATGGCCAAGTTTGAGCTCTTGAGCCAACCCATCTAATTATTCCTTTGACCAGTTTGAACTGGTATCTCTCATTTGCATATGAAAACATACTAATACAAACAACTTTCATATTTCTTCTCAAGTTTTAGATTAAATAATTTGTGTACTTTCAAATGCTCTTCATGTATCATACATAGTGTCTATACCCTTTGACATTCTCTGGGATACATTCCTGGATGTGCTTCAAAATGCTGGGCATTGGTATTTTTCAGGGAGTCAGGAGAGTCACAGGGTTTGGCCTGGAGGCAAAACATTGTACACCAGGAGGTGTTTTTGCCTCCAGGTCAAAATGTTTACTAAAGCACCTGCCTCTGTTTAAGATGGTTACTAAAGCACCCACTCCTTTGCTCCACCTATCAGCTTCACGGTGTGTATGTAGTTCAGGCAAATTATCAAGATACCTAAAGAGTTAAAATCCTGTGCATACTTAAAAATTGCAGTGTTTAGTGTTTTTTATTCTTTTCCTTTTTCTTCCCAGCTTTACTGAGATAAAATACAATGTTTAGTTTTTAAGAAGTAGTTTGTAAAGAAACTGGGAAAACATAAGACCATCAGAGCGGGTAACTGAATTAACCGATGAAATACATGCTGCAGTGGTCAAAGTGCGAGTGGCCAATTACAGAGCTTTCTCATTCATTCACAAATATTCAAAATAATATTTTCTACTAGTTCATGTAACTCAAAATAGAATTAGAATTTTTATTTTCTAAACTGCATTTCTGCTTCTTCCCTTCCCTCCTAGTTCTAAGAAAACAAGAATTTTGAGTTGGTCGATTTTTGTTCCTACTTGCATTGACTTTCAGAATTCAGCAGAGGTGTCTTAAAAATTGAAGCCTAAAACTCAAGCCAGTGGCTTGTTGCTCTGATAGTCGACAAAGCATATTAGCTGCCATTTTAAGTAAATTCATTGTTGAATGATGTTCAGCAGAGAGCTACAGTAGGAAGTTGAAGACTCACGATTGTTTGGGTAAAATGAATATAAGAAGTTTGGCACATTAAGCCCTGTGGATTAAAGAGTTTGAGGGTATGTAGTAAGTAAAATTTCTGCATGAATAAAAGTAGCAGATTTCATATTTTTTTATTTTGCAACCATGGAGGACTTCTTTGATGGTCCTGTGTATGTCATCGCCTCTAAAGAGTGCAACATATGTCCATGCACACACACAATCCATCTTCCTATTTCTATCTCCTCTTGACGACTAGAAAAACCAGATGAATGGAGTGCAGAGGGAAAAAGTCCAGCTTGCTGTTTGGAATTCCAAAGATCGGTGTATCAGAGGATATTGTATTTATGAAAACCATGTTCCTTGATTCTTTTTTGAAGTAGCAACAACAAGGTTCACAGACAATATCAAAGAAAATGCAAGCAGTGGGTCAAGTATTGCTGAAGGAAACCATCCACATTTGAAGACAGGCCTCCCCACAGGTTAGTCTCTGGCTGCAGTTGTACCTTCAGTGCTCGGCAATGATCCTGCCTCCACGTTACAGGACAAACTCGGGCTACCGAGCATGTGACATCCAACCCTACATCTAGAGTGACTCATCTGCACAAGTGCCCAGTTCCACCTTAATTCCTCCAGTCTCAAGTGAACTTGTGTTGTTTCTCCTGGGGATTGTTGTATGAATCATTCTCTTGACCTCCTATTTTTTAGATGTTTCCTCTTTACACACTACTTGACTACCATACAGATGCTCAAGATGATAGATGGATGAATCAACGAATGAATGAATCAATTAATCAATCAATTAAATGATGTATAATATTGAAACTTTCTCGCTGCTAGCTATAAAAAATTTTCCATTATAGCCAAGTCGGTAGAAAGAATATTCTACATCACAACTTCTGTTTCCTTATCCTCCATTAATTTTTAACCTAATATAAGGCTTACCTCTATCAGGTGTGTCCAACTTTTTGGTGTCTCTGGGCCACACTGGAAGAAGAGTTGTCTTGGGCCACGCATTAACTACACAAACACTAATGAAAACTGATGTGCAAAAAAATGCTTTTAGTAAATTTATGATTTTGTGTTGGGCTGCATTCATAGCCACCCTGGGCTGCATGCAGCCCATGGGCCTTGGGTTAGACACTCCTGCTACATTATTCCACCAAAACTACTCTTGCAAATATTACCAATTCCTGATTTTCAGTCCTTCTTTAATTGACTTCTAACTGCATTTGATATAATTGATTAATTTCTTCGGGAAACCCTCAGATCCCTAGGCTTTTCTAACAGTAGTCTTCCTGATCTGCTTCTCCATATCTAGTCATTTCTTCTCTGTCTCTCTGTGGGTGTCTATCCTTTTGCCTGCCCCTCATTTTCATTTGCACGAGAATCTTGTCATTGGTTTTTTTTTTTTTTTTTGGCTTCTCTCTAATGTTCTCCTTCTATGACAGAACCTATCTCCATGACTTTGCCTACCATAAAACACACTGACAGTTCCCAAACATTCTCTTGTAACTCCGTGTTAGTAAATACTTTCATTTGGATATCGTACAAATTAAACATATTCCCAAGCCCAGCTCAATTTTTTGCCCATAAACTCTCCTCTTTCTCCCAAATTACTTAGAAAGCAATGTGATCCTTCTCCCAGTCACCTAAATCACTAAATCAGAATCCTGGCAGAAGCCTTAATTTCCTTTTCTATATTTAATAAATGCCCATGATGTGCCAGTTCCTTACCCTGATGTCCTCCATAGGCACCACTTCTTCCTAGTTTACCTGCCTTTGCTGCATTGGCTCCTGTCTCACCAGGTACACACCACAGTGCCCTCCCGACTCCTGGCTTCCTCCCGTCCTGCCCTCCAGTTGTTTCCTGGGTAACCTTTCTGAATCTTGTAGTCCATCATCACTCATAGCTTTTTAAATCTTTCTGTGAGTCCTTCATTACCCATGGGATAAATGACTCCTTGGCAAGGCATAAAAACACTATGTCTTGGTACTCTTTCTCATTCCAAATTTCTGTCTCCAAGTCACCTTCCAGGTCCCTCACACTCCTAGGATTCTTAGGTTACTGTATTCCCATTCTCTTCTTGGAATGCCCTTCCTTCCACTGTCTGCTGTCTTCCTTGGTGGCACCTACTCATTTTTAAAGATGCGCTTGCAGCATCAGCTCCTTAGGAATAAACTCAAACCAAAAAATATCTAAATCCTTATTACAGAAACTGCAGTTCTCTGAGAAACAGCACAGGGAGATGTGTTAGAAATGCAGGACCTCTGGCTGTACCCAGGCCTACTGAACCAGAATCTGCTTTTTAGCAAGATTTTCAGGCAGTCTGATGCGCATTAAAGTTTGAGGAGCCCTGCTGTAGGAAGGAGTTTTTATTCTCACCTCCCTTATCGTGTACCTATCATATGCCAGGTGCTATGCATTTTCTTATTTAATCATTACAGTGCCCCTAGAAATAGATTTTATCATCCACAACTTATAGATAAGAAATAAAAGATGCTCAGGGTACAATTACATAGCTACTAAATTTTAGACCCGGGACATGAAGCCTGCTTCTGTCTGACTGTGTAGTCCATGTTCTTTGTTTATTCTGAGACGCTTCCTAATTGTGATGGAGTTTAAGTTGTTTTCATGTATGTCTATCTCTACCGGAGACCAT